AAACATAAAACATAGTATGTATCTACATATACATATACGTGCCACGCTCCATAATAAAGTGAACAACTCATATACTAGTGATAATTCAAGTAATAACGTGAACAAAATAAATGTGCTTCAAGCAAGTGCAACATATAGTGCATATCAAAATAATGTTCATCCAATCTGTAAACCAGTAATATGAACAGTCCTCTTTATACTTCTATAATATTTCAGTGACAAGTGAGGGGTATTGTGCCACACTCCCCGTGCTCTATGGATAGGTGTGCGCTCACCTCCTTGTTAGCCAGACAAGCTGGCTAAACACACTTTTTTGTCCTCACAGGACAAGGTGGGAATCTTTACTTTATATGCGTGTTTCCATCCATATTATGGGTTGCCTTATTTCTGCCACCAGAGGTCTCCCTCCTTCCACACTTTGGCCTCAATAGGTTTCTTTAGGGGTGGTTAAGATGATCTTTCCTCCTCTCAATGAATCATGTAAAACAAGAACCACAGATGGTGCCTTATCTTTTGTGAGGCTAAAGCCTATTTATTGGTAAAAAAAACGCCACTCACATAATTTCCAGCAATCCTGTGTTCAGCTGGCATGTATTCAGATCCTGTTTTCTGTTCAGATCCAGAAAACAGGATCTGAATACATGCCAGCTGAACACAGGATTGCTGGAAATTATGTGAGTGGCGTTTTTTTTACCAATAAATAGGCTTTAGCCTCACAAAAGATAAGGCACCATCTGTGGTTCTTGTTTTACATGATTCATTGAGAGGAGGAAAGATCATCTTAACCACCCCTAAAGAAACCTATTGAGGCCAAAGTGTGGAAGGAGGAGGAGACTCTGGTGGCAGAAATAAGGCAACCCATAATATGGATGGAAACACGCATATAAAGTAAAGATTCCCACCTTGTCCTGTGAGGACAAAAAAGTGTGTTTAGCCAGCTTGTCTGGCTAACAAGGAGGTGAGCGCACACCTATCCATAGAGCACGGGGAGTGTGGCACAATACCCCTCACTTGTCACTGAAATATTATAGAAGTATAAAGAGGACTGTTCATATTACTGGTTTACAGATTGGATGAACATTATTTTGATATGCACTATATGTTGCACTTGCTTGAAGCACATTTATTTTGTTCACGTTATTACTTGAATTATCGCCAAAAATATGAACATCTCTAGTGATGACAGATCATATAATCACAACACTCCTCAGTGATGTATCAGTCTTTTCCGGACTCGCCACTAAAAATCCTCAGTGTGTCTCATCACCAATCCAAACGCACTCACCAGAAAGATTTCCTGCACAGGTTCTAAGCAGCCGACTGGGCTCCAATGCATCCTCCAAGGCCGACTAAACCTTTTAGTGATTCCTTTAAAGAAATGACCCCTTGAAGATGGCAACAACGAGGCTAGTCCATCAGTGGAAGAAGCAGATGGATGGCACGACTAGACTAGGGACAAGTGCACCCCAAAAATCAAAATGATATAATGTAATATTTATTAAAAAGATGTATATAAACCTCCACAGTGTGCACAACCACCAGTCCAATGCACTCACCACACCAGATGGCTGTACATCATGTGAACAGCAAATGGGCACTATGGCAATCACCAGATCTCCGCAATTCACTCCCTTTTAAGGAAGTTATCTTGATACAACACCGACCAGAAATGATGTCACGTATTAGTACACAGGCAAATGGCAGGACTGTGGAACAGGTGCTCACCAAAAACTGAGCCAAATTGAAGGCATATAGTGTAGTATTTCTAAAAATATTGTAAAACAAACAGGGTCCTGCACTTGCAGATATGGCTGCTGCATACAGGCCATGCGGCGGTGATGAAGTCCGTATTCTTTCACCGCTCAATGGGGTTTATTTACTAAAGTTGGTTCACTCAGAATCTTGTGCACTCCTGCACAGAAACCAATCGGCTTACATGTTTTATTGCTAAATCTTAATTGAACAAGCTGAGGTTAGAAGCTGATTGGCTACCATGCACAGGTGCACTAGATTCTGAGTGATCCAGCTTTAGTAAATAAACCCCAATGTGTTTCGTGCTCTAGCGCATCATCAGGGATCAAAGAACGCTGCTCCAGTTTACCTAGGAAACCATAGCAAAAGCAGGTTTCTCTAGGACTTCCTCTCCAGGCTGTGGTGCCCCTTGGTTCAAGCGCCACCTACAGTGGAGAAAACAGACTGCACCTGCCCACATGCGCCCTCATATAGAGTTTGCAAATACAGTGCGGCTGGGGCAGACTGATAAAATACTAAATAAAGCAAAGCTAAACTCACCTTTCCTTCAACAGTCCCCGTCCCTCCCCAGCATCTTCTCCTGGGGCCAGTCTACATCCGTCTTCATTGGCTGGCCCAGGACGATGTCAGTCCTGCACATGCACAGGAGCCTGTTGTCCAGGCACACAGGGACCGTGCAAGCAATATAAGTTGAACTGCACATGCACGCTCGGTTTACATGCCAGAGATGACAGTGAGCAGACAGGTGTATTTTATCGCAGAAGAGTCATTGGATGCCTCTTCTGTAAAGAGCCTGCCTGCTCACAGTTTTGGGATAGTGGAACTTTAGTTCCACTATAAAGCAATATCCAGCTGCCATCACCTATGTTGATATTTTCCTTCTTGCCTGTATCCCTACCTTCCCTTCAAGAGATACTCACCTGTACAGTGAGTCCATTGTTGGCCCGCTGTGATTTGCTGTTGGGTGGCATATATCAGGCCCTGCACCACCATTCAAGTCCTATTCAGCTGGCTGCCTCTTCTAGGTGCAGGCAGCCAGCTACCATTGACACATTGGGGCTGCCCTCTGGCCATTCTAGGTGCCTGATTATGCAGCCTCCTGGAAGGTCATCACAGAGGACAAGGGGTCACTCTTTATGGCTGGAGGAAAGATTTAATCTCCAAATACAGAAATGCTTCTTCACAGAAAGCTGTGAAAATATGGAATAGACTCCCGCAAGAGCTGGTTCTGGCCAGTTCAGTAGATTTAAAAAAGGTCTGGATTTTTTTCCTAAATGCACAAAATATAACTGGATAATAATATTTATAGGTAAAGATGAATTGGAATATCCAATTGCCTGTCAGGATTTTTTTTTTCTCCCAATGGGGTGATTTTATGATATTTTTATTGGTTTTTTTTGCCTTCCTCTGGATCAACTTTGTGTTTTTGTGGGTTCAACTTGTCTTTTTTTTTTTTCTTTTCAGCGAGACTAACTTTGTCATGTAAGAATTCCAGGAGGCTGCTGGACCAGCGACACATCATTTTTGCCTCATGCAGAATGACCATGGGGGAGGAACCAGACGTAAAAAAAAAAAAAATTAAGTCAGACTAAAAACAGCACACTTCTGTTTTGGGGGGTGGATTTTTAAACAGAACAAACCATTTTGGGAGTTAAATTCCACTTAATCTCTGCTGCCGTAATGACTCCACTGTGGTCTAGCCTACGTTAGCCATAGGGTACCCTGTGACTCCTCAATACAGTCGGAACTATGGGTGCAGCTTGGACCCTGGGATGTCTTCAGAAGGTTAGATAAATACAAAAAACAAAACGCTGCACGGTAATAATAATAATTAAAAAAAAAAAATCGCATGGGGAAATAAATGGTTTATGGGTTTGGAGTTGGCCATCAAAGAAGACTGAGGAATAATGAAAGCTGCCAGTCCTGACCTTCTTTTCAGCCGATGAGGGAAATTAAATTGAGGGAACTAAATTGATTCAGCGATGACAGCCAGGCAACCAGCATTTCCAGAGGGTGGAATCAGCTGTGGCAGTCTCTATACCACCTTAGTACAGATTTCCTTTATTGGCTTGTTCACCCAACTGAGAATTTCCTTTCCTTCCTGCTGAGTTGTCTCTGGAAACAATCCCAGTTGCTAACTGATCTCTGAGAGCCCAGTGATAGTTGGTGAACAATAGTTGCCTCAATGGGCTGGTCTAACTATTAGATATTCTTGCTAATTTGTAGGGGTTTGTATTTGGGATGCTGCTCATTAAAATATAGAAGATAAATATCCTCGTTTTATGTTGGTCAATATTACTAGAAGAGAAAGTGGTGAAAAATAAGAACTTACTGGAAGTTGGTCTCCCTCTGACAACACATTTTACTAATGCCACAGCACTGTTCATGCGGATTCAATCAACGGGGCTTGGTTAATTGGCAATTAGAAGGAGCCTGCCAATCAGTAGTTGGTGTCAGCCATTTTGGATTCTGTACAGAAATACATGCAAAATCCTGGGCATGCCGGCTGTGCAATACTGACCAAGATGTGGCACAGAATGGAGCCAACAGACTGGAGTTACCCCCAAAACAAGGACTCCCTATAGGATAAGCAAGCCCTTTACAAAAAAATCCTTGTCATTATTTATTGCATTGACCTGCAGTTCCTTGGCACCCAGCCATATTTCAGGTTTTTTTTATCTTGTATCATGTAGACCAATCATTCTCAACCAGGGTTATGTGGAACCTTAGGGTTCCTCCAGAGTATGCTTGGGGTGCTGGGGCCAATGTCACTTGGCAGTACCACCTGCATAACAACAGTGGGGCCTCCCCTCTTGTTCTTCTGATAACTTGCCATTAACATTAAGGGATGGATTATTCCCACTCACCTTCAATGTAGGATGAATTCTTCACACTGATCACCAATGGAAGGCAGTATGTCTCCTCTCCAATGTAAGGGAGCACTGCACTGACCACTAAAGTAAGAGGGTCTGTCTTGATTTCTTTTTTTAGTGATTACTATTACTTGAATAATTTTATTTTAGGGAATATTATTGAAGAATGATTCTGTCAGGCATCTTACTTATCACACTGATGTACCAAAAGTTGCAATTAGAATAATTTTTAGCATGGGTTCGCTGAGACCTGAAATTTTTTTTCAAGAGCTACTTTTTGCAGTTAAAAAGAATGTAGATAAGAATGAACATTTCCATTTTGTTCCAGTACTGTTAGTAGTATTTGATGCCGACAATGTGCTTGTTATGTCTTTTTCAGATCTTTATAATCAGGACATCAACTGGATATACCTAAAGCCTCTTCTCTTCGTATTCACAGTTCTGTGTTCTGTGGGGCTGTATTTGGCCGTGTCACTCATGGACCCGGGCTATGTACTCTCTGACAGTGAGAAGGTAATGATTCCAGCCTTTCAAAACAATGGATCTCTTGGTGAAAAATGGTGAGAGATAACCTGGATGTTGCGTAAAACAGCTTTAAAATCACTATTCATAATTTTGACCTGCGCTGGAAATAGGAAATGAGGAAGCTGATGTGCAATTCCTTTTGATTATAAGCACCACATTTCTAACTAACCTGTGGCCCTTCAGTTTTAGAAATAGCCAATCCTACTATTCCTGGTTATATTCGTAGTTGCTCCTCTGTGCAACCCAGTCTGCAGGCTGTTGAGGCTTGATAATGGCAAGCAATGCTGTCATTTACAAGAACCAGTTATGATAATTATAGCCATCTCTGCCTTAGAGGTAATAAGGAGCTTCTTAGTTGGAAAAACTCTTTAATCAGATCAAATTGTTTGCTCTTCTACTAAGAAGAGAAAGCTGAAAAGTAGTGTGTGTGTCTCCCACTGACAGCTGACAGTTTTCCAACATATTAGGCAGCAGGCAGGCTTATCCCTACTTGTGACATCTGATTTCTATGCCAACCATCCCCATTAACAATCTGAATAAATAGATTGTATTTTTTTTCTTTCTGTAGACGTTTTCAGAACTGGCTGAACAGGAGACGAGTGCAGTGATTTCCAGCTCCGTACGAATGAGGCGGTGTGGATACTGCTTGTTAAAAGTATGTCTGAGTAATACATTCCTCTGGCATTGCATGGATATTTATGTACAGATAAGGTCAGGATTTCTTGGATTGTATGTTAATGCTTTTATAATAATACCATTCCTGATAGCTGAGATTCCAGCATGCTTAGATAACTGACAGACCTGCATATTTTTAAATTTAAAGGTTTTTCATTATCAACCATAAACTAGGAAAAACCCCTTCCTCCAAATAAAAGCCCAGTCGCCTACCTTAACTGTATAGGAGTATGGTGATGGCCTATTAGCGTTTAGGTACATTTGACATTGCTCTCCCCTCCATATCATAAAAAGACCCACTGACTGTATCAGAATACAGTGCATTAAAAAAGTATTCGGACCCCCTTCACTTTTTTAAATTTTGTTATGTCTCAGCCTGATACTACAGTTATTCAGCCACTTCAATACTGGGCATTTTCACCCCCTCCTTGCCCAGGCCAATTTTCAGTTTTCAGCACTGTTGTACTTTGACAATTGCACGGTCATGCAGAACTGTACCCATATAAAATGATCATTTTTTGAGATAGAGCTTTCTTCTGGTGGTATTTAATCACAAACCCAGTGTTTGAGGAAAGGACTGCCAATAACCGGCAGGTCTGTTTACATGTGATCAGCTGTGATTGGACACAGCTGTTCATATGGTCAAGGCCTGCTGTGATTGGCCCTTTACCTTGATCTGTAATCAGCTGTGTCCAAAGGACACAGCAATCACTGAGCACGCCCACAGGGCGGGGTTCTCTGAGGAGATCCATGGATGCCATCCCAGAATTAGATGAGCATGCTGTAGCTGTCTTTTTAGCTATAGTGTGGTGGGGAATTAGCGAAATTTCTTTTTTTTTTTTTTTTTTTTCTCTCAATCTACACTCAGTTCCCCATAATGATGAAGTGAAAACAGAATTTTAGAAATATCTGTGAATTTATTAAAAAGAAAAACTGAAATATGTGTACTTAAGTAATTTTACGCAGTACTTTCTTGTTGTAACCTTTAGCATCAATTACAGCCTCAAGTTTTTTTGGGTATGACATGACAAGCATTGCACACCTGGATTGGGGGATGTTTTGCCATTCTTTGCAAATCCTCTGAAGCTAAGTCAGGCTGGATGGGGACAGCCATTTTCAGGTCGCTTCAGTGATGTTCAGTAGAATTCAAATCAGGGCTCTGGCTGGGCCACTCTAGGACATTCACAGAGTTGTCCCTAAGCTACTTCTGTGTTATCTTGGCTGTGTGCTTAGGACCGTTGTCATGTTGGAAGGCGAACCTTTGGCCCAGTCTGAGGTTCTGAGCGCTGTAGAACATGTTTTCATTGAGGATATCCCTGTACTTTGCTTCATTCAACTTTCCCTCAACCCTGACCACTCTCCCAGTCCTTGCTGTTGAACAACACCCCACACAGGATGCTGCCATCACCATGTTTCACTGTTGGAATGGTACTGGGCAGGTGATGAGCAGTGCTTTGTTTCCTCCAGACATAATGTTTAGAATTGACAGTTCAATCTTGGTTTCATCAGCCAAGAAAATCTTATTCCTCAGTTTGAGAGTCCTTCAGGTGCTCCCTTTTTTTTTTTTTTTTTGCAAACTCAAAGAGCAGGCTTTCATGAGTTCTGCACTGAGGAGAGGCTTCCGTCTAGCCACTCTGACATAAAGCCCAGATCAGTGGATGGCTGCTGTTATAGCTGTCCTTCTTTGTCCCATTTCCACACAAGATCTCTGGAGCTCAGTTAGAGTGACCATCGGGTTCTTGGTCACCTCTCTTATCAATGCCCTTCTCCCCCGATTGCTCAGTTTTGCTGGGCAACCAACTCTTGGAAGAGTTCTGGTTGTGCAAAACTTCTTCCATTTAAGAATTATAGAGGCCTCTGTGCTCTTGGGAACCTTCAGTGCAGCAGAAATTTTTTTGTACCCTTCCCCAGATCTGTGCCTTGCAATAATCCTGTCTCTGGGCTCTGCAGGCAGTTCTTTTTGACCTTGTGGCTTTTGCTCTGATACAGTATGCATTGTCAGCTGTCAAGCCTTTTATAGAGAGGTGTGTGCCTTTCCAAATCCTGTCCAATCAATTTATTTACCACAGGTGGACTCCAATCAATGTGTAGAAGCATCTCAGCAACTATAAAGAGAAATGGGAGGCACCTGAGCTAAATATTTAGTGTTGTTGCAAAGGGTTTGAATCCTTATGCCAATGTGATATTCCTGCTTTTCCTTTTTCATACATTTTCAAACATCTCTAATATTCTGTTTTCACTTTGTCATTATGGGGTACTGAGTAGGGTTGCACCTATACCGATACCAAGCATTTGCATGAGTACTTATGCAAATGCTCCAATACCTAACTGATACCTTTTGCGATGCGATTTGAGCCCATACAAAATAAATGGGCTCAAATCTCACTGCAAAGAATAGCATACGATTTGAGCAGGAACGCAGTGCTATTCCTGTCCAAATCAAATGTGGTTTTCCACACCGCTCCTGTGTGAGCCCTGACGTCACTGACAAGCCTGGGTTCACACAGGAGCAGTGCGGAAAACTACATGCGATTTGGATAGGAATTGCACTGCATTCCTGCTCAAATCGCATAATATTCTTCAGTGTGATTTTTTTTTTTTTTTTTTTAAAGACTATTTATTTTGCATGGGCTCAAATCGCACCACAAAGGTATTGATATTTTTGGTATAATTGGTATTGTACTTGAGTACTAGTATCTGTACTCGTACTCGCCAGCAAAAACAGGTATCTGTGAAACCGTAGTACTGAGTGTAGATCAAAGAGAAAAAGATGAATTTAATCAAATGCTGTATCAGGCTGCAACATAACGAAACTGAAAAAAGTGAAGGGGGTCTGAATACTTTATGCATGCACTGTATAATGGCCTTCAAGATTATTAGTATTGACTGGGCCAGATTCTGAATATTTTGTCTTAGGATGGATGTTAAGATTTTGCAGCCTTCTGAAAGATTTGCAATAGACCTATTTAGTTTATTTTGCCTGTGTCTTATTTCTAATTTTTAGCCAGAGGGTTAAAGTCTGACAGTTGCTGCCTAACCTCACTAGCTACCTTTTAGCTTCTGAGAGTGCAGTGTTGGGCTGACCAGGTCGGAAATGTGAAAATTCAGGTGACCATTTATGCCTTGACTCAGGCTGAAGTGTGGGGTACAAACAAAATATAAGGGCAAATAGACATTTTTTTGCAAACAAGTCTGCTCAAATGGAATTGTTATACTTTCTGTAAAATCCATTTCTTGGCACTCATTGAGGGACCCAGGAATTTAGAGTATGCTAGGTTATATTGCTGTCTACAGAAGGACATAAAGAACAGTCTGGTATCCCAGCGTTGTTTAACTACTCCTAATTCCAACATGCTTCAGAAGATGGAAAATTGTACCAAGAGCATAATCTTAGATAAAAGTTTGGACCTGTGTCCTCGATGAAATAGATTTTTTTGGTAAGAACAAAAAGGCCATTTTCTTTTTCATTTATTGAGGGGCACAGGAGTTCAGATTGTTGGGATGTGCAAAAGCAGATCAATTGTGGGTCACAGCAACAAAACACTAACCGGTCCACAAGAAAACTGCCTGCAGCTCAAAGAGCCTCCTGAATACTACATTGAAAGGGCATTTTTTTTTACGTAAGAACCAAATCAAATCCCACAGATCCACAGCGAATGCACAGGGGGAACACCACCCTGAACAAAAGTCTTAAAGAATGGGAAGCTAGTGGAAGAAGACCCAAGTGCTGAGAAATGACCGGGAAAGGTTTAAGGCAGCTGGAGGTGACCGGGTCACTGTAGGTGGGCAGCAGAGATGAACGGAGGATTAATCCACCCGTTGCAGTGATAGGAAGTTGCTGGTTCGAGAGAGATGGAGAAAGTGCCCCACACACACATGACATTCCACTAAGTAATCAGTGGAAAGCAGGGATTGCAAATGGCACCCAGCGGCCCTAGTAATGAGCTGGCTCTTGATGCTTTGACCTTACGGCCTACGCAAAACAGTGCGTATTCAATGACAGTGTTACACCTACAGGTGTACTACGGCTCTGGAGCCAGAAAACGAACCATGGCTAACTAACACAGTAGTCTTGGGTATGAAAAGCACCACAATAGAGAGCCCAGCGATTGAAGGTCACATTCTAGGTTAGCCTTGCAATCGTGTAGTCCAGCAGGGTCCAGGTAAGTCTTGTATGGAGGAACTGCTGACCTGGATAGTTGTGTATAGAGAACAGCTTAGCAGCTCCAGCTGTTTTACATTTACTCTTGTGAGTGTTTTTTATCCTGTCATTAAATCGCATACTTATCTACTGCACCTGTAGAGGAATGGCAACACTCTACAGGAAGGCAGCCACTACATTCAGCATTCTAAGGACGCCAATCCTCTTTTATAGCTCCTCTGGATCATGGCTCTTTAGCGCCCCTACGATAATGTGCTGATTATGATTGACTTATTTATATTCTGGATAACACACCTCTGTGTGCCAGTATTATATTGTCCAAGAAAGAGAAATGCCTGGCTTGCCTAATGCAGGCCATAGATGGGTCGAAAATCGGCCGAAAATAAAATCGGCCGATTTTCGGATCGTTAGTGGGCGATTTGGTCGGCTGTTTTTCGGTATTTTGGCCGTTTTTTTTTTCGGTAAAGTTGGAAAAAAATCGGCCGATTTTGCCGATCGGCCGATTTTCGCGGCAATTAGTGGGCAAATCGGCCGATTTTTTACCGATAAAAAATCTGCACATGAGCAGTGACCTGCAAGAGGAAGACAAAAAGAAGAAGAGGAAGATGATGAAGACGATGAAGAAGAGGATGAGGATGAAGAAGAAGATGAGGATGAGGATGAAGAAGAAGAAGATGAGGATGAAGAAGAAGAGGATGAGGATGATGACAAAGAGGATGAGGATGAAGAAGAGGATGAGGATGATGATGCAGAAGAAGAGGATGATGATGCAGAAGAAGAAGAGGATGAGGATGATGAAGAAGATGAGGATGAAGAAGAAGAGGATGAGGATGAAGAAGAAGAGGATGAGGATGAAGAAGAAGAGGATGAGGATGAAGAAGAAGAAGAAGAGGATGAAGAAGAAGAGGATGAGGGTGAAGAAGAAGAAGAAGATGAGGGTGAAGAAGAAGAAGAGGATGAGGATGAAGAAGAAGAGGATGATGAAGAAGAAGAAGATGAGGATGAACTTTTTGCCGGCTCTAGACGGGTAGAAAATCGGCCGATTTTTTTTTTTTACCATTGATGGTAACGTCGGCCACTTGAACAACCGATTTTTCGTTTTTTAAAAGAAAAATCTGCAGTTTTTCTCCCCATCTATGGCCTGCATTAGGCTGGATATTTTTACCAGGCTGCAGGTTCTGCAGCCAATCAGTGGTTGTGCATTCACATGTGCTGGTAACAAACTTGATGAAAAGATTTGAGATCAAGGAAACAACCTCACCACTATGTTGCTACTTTTTCACTATCCAATTACAGGCTGGGGTTATAAAGGTGATCAACCTGTGTTCTATCCTAGCAGGGAAAATTCAGGGCACATGGCTGGCTGTGCTTTGTGATAGGGCTGTGTAAACTTCTGAATGGGATTGACAGAAAAAAAAAAACCACTTTAATTCTGTTCTTTTACAGCAGCCAATGAGGGCCAGACATTGTAAATCATGTAATCGCTGTGTAAGAAGGTATGATCACCATTGTCCCTGGATTGAGAACTGTGTTGGAGAGAAGAACCACCGAGTCTTTATATTGTATCTGATTGTCCAGCTTTTCGTTCTCCTATGGGCCTTCCGCTTGGCTTGGTAAGTAGATATTCCTGGTATAGACTTCTATTAAAAAAAAAAAAGTTAGGCTGCTGTTGCTAGTCGTCTTCTCTTTAGGGAGTGATGTAACAAGTTCCTGTTTAAAATGTTATTAAACCCACAACAGTAAAATCAGTCTGTGCAGTAAAGCGTGCTTGTTATACTCACTGTGGAACCTAAGGGGTTAATCCTCTGCATTGTGTAAAAAGGATGTTTAAGCCTGTCTTCTCTGATCCTCTTCTCCTTCCACTGTCCCTGACACATCTCATGATAGAACAGAGTCTTGGGGGAAAGCTGCACATGCTTAGTTTGGTGTGTATTGCTGGATGTTTTTTTTTTTTTTTTTTCCTTGGGAGAGTGCATGTGATCAGCACAAGGCTAATTAGCACTGTCCAGACTGAGGGTCAGGGTTTCTGCAGCTCCATTGGTCAGTGATAGAATGAAAACGCCTCCTACAAGCTTTAACCAGTGCTCTGCTGGACACTGATAGAAGTCACAAGACTGCTATATACTGCTGATGAGAAAAGGTATTTAGTAGTTTGTTTACTAAAATAATTGCACTTCCATGTTGTGTGTACTGTGGGAGACCAGATATAGTAAAGGCCGGGTCATGGGTTTAGTAACACTTTAAACCTTGAAAATACTCTCTCTAAAAATATTTAAAGTTTCCCCTGGCACGTGTTCTACTTTAAAAGCTTCCAGACTGATATTAAAAACTATGCAAAATCTGACCCCAGAAAGTAATGTTAATAGAATGACAACACAGCCTTTCAGTGGTCTGTATGCAGCGGCAGAGTTGCCCTAATACACGGTGCATCAGCACTTTTGGCTAGTGTAAAGTGGGGGTGCCAAACAGATGAACTAGGTATAAAGAGTAAATGCGAGCGCAATCACGGCAAAACCTCAACACCTCAGAAGAAACAAATGAATAGATATGCAGCGCTAAAGGTGTATAAATATGAAGGACAATAAAAACAGGAGTAGTCGATATGGCGATATATATATATATATATATATATAACATAACAATGCGGTGACAGTCCCACGGTGATGTTATAGGAGTTCAATAGAGATTATATCCAAAGACTGTAGCAGGTGCTCCGTGACTCGTAACATAAGTGCCAGGATCTGGTAAGTTGATACACTTACCAGAAATACATATAATATGGGTGTTATATGTATAATCCTAATGGTGAAGGCATCTGGGTCTGGTCAGCGGCTATGATGTCATCAGGCTCGACCGTAGACACACGGGATGGAATCTCGCACTCAGGGTCACACTCTGCTCATCGATCCATCATACAGCTTAGGATACTGGCTCCACACTCCCAAAGAGGCTCCACCTTGTGAGGCTCGCAAATAAGCAAGCCAGGACAAAGAATGGTGCTGATAGTGTAGTACCGTTTTTGTTATATTGTGTAACAAATCCAAAGTGAAAATGAAAATAACTCACATAACGGTCAAATAAATAGCCTTCCTGGTGGCCATGTACAGCTAGTCATCAAGCTGGAGGGTTCCTTTGACGCGTTTCGTGCAAAACAGGCACTTTGACAAAGTTGTTACTGGCATTAGACCATGAGCATAAAAGCAATTTCTGCATGAGGGTTAGTTACACTTTAACCATGTCATTTTCCTGGTACAGGTCTGGTTTCCACTCTGAAGCCACTTGGAGCGAATGGCTGCGTGTTAATATCTTCTTGCTCCTGTCTTTCATCCTGATCAGTGTTGTCACAGCAGTCGTGTGCCTGTTGCTTGTATGCCACCTCTACCTAATCTCCTGCAACTATACCACATGGGAATTCATGTCTTATTATCGCATTTCCTACCTGAAGCAGTGTGATTTGGACTCGAATCCTTTTGACAGGGGAATCCTGTGGAATTTGTGGAACTTCTTTTGCACTCATGGTCATGTGACCTGGGAGAGGGTATATTTGAGGAATACTTACAACACTGTATAAAACCCCTCATGGCCTGTGACTCTGTACACAATAGGACTACTGTTTGCTGAACAAAAAAGGCATGTGACTTCATGTCTGTATTGTCTTACAGAACATTTACTATTGTTACTGCATTTTAGTTTACAGACAATATCGGTGGCCCTGAAGCCGTCACTTTTATCTTCAGAATAATACACATTCTGCAGAATACATTGTCCACTTTATACCGTCTGTGTCAGCTGAGATTGCAGTGCTGCAAACTATCAGGTAGAATGGACACTGGAGTTGGATCAGCTGACTGAAGTACCAATGACTATTCATACATTATACAATTGTATTGTACAAGTTTCCTTTAGATTTACCAACACCATATAATATGAGGTCAAACTTGAACACGTTTTTAATTTTGTATGCAATCAGGCCAGCCCTTGCACTACATAGTTGAAGGTAAATCCTAAAGGAAATTGAGTAAGCAAATTGAATAATTTATTGCTTGTCTTGGGGAAGCAAACATAAAATGATGGTCACTCAGTCTAGCCAATAGCAGATTCATCAAGAAATGATTGTGGACTCTACAGCTACCCCCCTGATGGGCCAACCTCAGGGGAATAATTTGATCAATGAAAGGTTTGAAAGGTTTGTTTTTTTCCTGGATGATTTGTATGGTTTCTCCCTGATTTGATCTAATGGCAGGTTGAAAATCCACATCCACACTGGCCGAGAAGACTACATGTTTGTATCCTAATAATTTTGTCAAATTATAGCAGGACAGTCAGTTCATTCTCATTGTTTCAGGGCTGGGTCAGTCAAAGGCATATACAGTGTACTGCTGCTTCCAAATTTGAATATAGCTTGTGGTTTTCAGGCATTTCTGATGTCCTGAGCATCTAAAGAAGTTAGAGGCCCCCCTTTTTTACCAAGGGAGATTTTCTAACTTCCTGTAAAATCTTACCGTGGGTGGGCTGGATCCCTTATGAAGAAGAGCATAGGATCAGAGTACCACGCCTGAACTTTCTCCATTGGATGGAGATTACAGCAGATTTGGGTGCTTTATTTATTTCAGGTACTTGTATAGCGCTGTCAATTTATGCAGCGCTTTACACATATATATATTATTACATTTACATCAGTCCCTAACCCTCAAGGGTCGTACAATCTAAGGTCCCAAACTCCCATTCATACATACACATACTGGGGCCAATTAACCTACCAGCATGTCTTTGGAGTGTGGGAGGAAACCGGAGTAGCAGATCTAACCCACGCAGACACAGGGAGAACATGCAAATTCCAGGCAGTTGGTGCCGTGGTTTGGATTCAAACCAACGACCCTAGTACTGCCAGGTGGAAGTGCTAACCACTTAACCACTGTGCTGTCCTCTCTTTAGAGCAGTGTTTCTCAACTCCAGTCCTCATGGACCCCCAACAGGTCATGTTTTCAGGATTTCCCTCAGATGAAACAGCTGTGGTAATTACTAAGGCATTGAAACTGATCAAATCACCTGTGCAAAATAATGGAAATCCTGAAAACATGACTTGTTGGGGGTCCATGAGGACTGGAATTGAGAAACACTGCTTTAGAGGCAGAACAAGTCTAGAGCTGAGATGTGTTAATTTGTCTATTACACTTTGAATACAGTCAGTACAAGCAATGCTTGTGACCGTCCAGCCTGGTGGAGATGCTGTATGAACACTTCCAGTGCTGGGACATCTTTGTAACGCAGAGACAATTTGTTTTACCTTTTGGTAATTGAGGAAAGAAAAAGATATTTTTTACTGCATGTGTGAAGTAAAGAGAGAGAGCTCTTCCCCAACCCCCTTTCACTTGTCTACATAAGATACTGGTTGTAGCAGTAACCCCCTTCTTGATGATCACCTCCTTGTGATTAATGTATTGCTAAGGAAACCTATCAACAAGGGGTTAATCTCATGCCACAAAGGCAATTCAAGTTTTGTAGCTGAGCCGTCAGCCCTGGTTAACACCAGTGCGGCTTTGAAATTACACTACTTCAGCGAGATCTCAAAGTCCCCTATCAGTGTGATTTTGATGTTCAGTTTAATTGAGGCTTGCAGCGTCATTTAACAGAAGTCAATGCCAGTTGCAATGAAATCACAGAAGAGTAATGCAGGAACAATTTTCCATTGCTGCAAATAGGGTGTGACTTATGTGATTTTGAACTATCAAATTGCATGAGGACAACCAAACTGATAAGAGGCATGGAGGAGATCCGCTATGAGGAAAGCTATTAGAACTGAATTTATTCTCTCTTGAGAAGAGGTAATATGATCATCATATATAAATGGTCCATATAGTGAACTCGGAGTAGAGTTATTCACTTTAAGGTCATCACAGAGGACAAGGGGGCACTCTTTACGTCTGACAATTGCGTGCACCCAAATGAAATTTACATAATTTTTTTTTTCTCACAAACGGAGCTTTCTTTCGGTGGTGTTTGATCGCCTGTGCAGGTTTTTTCTTTTTGTGCTAATTAAAAAAAAAAAAAAAAAAAAAAGGAATTTTGCAAAAAACATTTTTTTGACTTTTTGCTATTAAACATGTCCAGTAAAAAAAATTTAAAAATCAAATTTCATCATAAATTTAGGCCAAAATGTATTCTGCTACATGTCTTTGCTTTAAAAAAAAAAAAAAAAAAAAACGTGGTTTACTTGAAAGTTTTATAGCGTTTATAAATGGTGGTGTGTGTGTATATATAGTGGGATTTTTTTTTTTTTAACTAGTAATGGCGGCGATCAGCGACTTATAGCGGGGGACTGCGGCGGGCATTCTGACACTAGGGGGAACTGGGTGTCACTGACATCCCCAGTGACACCAATACAGTGATCAGTGCTAATAAAAAGCACTGACACTGTACTAATGGCATTGGGCATAAAGGGGTTAGCGTGGGTCGATCAAAGGGTTAACTGCCGTTCGTTTATAACGGTGTTGGTGCTTTACTGTAAGTAAACAAAACAGCCATGCAAAGCAGTGTGCTAACAGTTCTCC